TGCAGGGAATTCAGGTGGCCCATTGATTGATTCATCTGGTCATGTAATTGGTGTAAATACTGCAACCTTCACTCGCAGAGGTAAGAAATTCATTACTTTCATTATTTTTAATAACATTAGTTAATGAAAAACCTGAATAAAACCTCCCAAGTCCCTTTTCATATTGAGTGAGACTATTGACATTGAAGCTCAATAACTTAGCTAAATGTGGAATCCTACTTAGTACATATTTCTAGAATATCATTAANAGTATATATTTCTAGAATATCATTAATATATTTGCTATTGAATCTTGATTACCCTAGAGGTTACATCATCTTGTGATTTTACTAAAGAACCTTTTGTCATATACAGAATACTGCAAAATCGCGTTATCTGAAAGAATTTATAGTTCAAACTTTTTTGATGCTTAGAGTTGGANCTTGATACTTAGAGTTGGACAGGTGAATCTGTAAAACTATAACATATATTTGATCATCTTATAGTCATTTCAGTTAAGGGGAGCTTTGGTGTAACTGGTAAAGTTGCTGCCATGTGACCACCATGTGACCAGGAGGTCACGGGTTCAAGCCGTGGAAACAGCCTCTTGCAAAAAATGCAAGGTAAGGCTGCGTACAATAGACCCTTGTGGTCCGGCCCTTCCCTGGACCCCACGCATAGCGGGAGCTTAGTGCACCGGGCTGCCCTTTTATAGTCATTTCAGTTACTTGGTGTTAAACTGAACTGCTACTTTTCTTGCTACCTCGTTGGAGTTTAACACCCTCTGATCCTCATGAATATCTTATATATGCAGAAACTTAGTGATCAGAAAAAGATGAAATCTGAGTGAATGTCTTAACTGCTTTTCGTTTTCAATCATGATGCAGGCTCGGGTATGTCATCAGGGGTTAATTTTGCCATACCAATTGACACAGTTGTACGAACAATACCTTACCTGATCGTTTATGGAACAACATACAAAGACAGATATTGAACATTATGTAGTAAGAAAGTTACTTATGCATGATCTGGGTAGCCTTTGTTGTCTTCACTGGACGGTATTGAACTTGACAGAAATTAAAAGGCTTTTGTTTGGAGCTGGAAGAATAATCATGTTCTTAACTGCAGCTCCTTGTGGTGCTTAGTCAATACGTGTTATTTTATTTTCGAAAGGACCAGATTTGTCCCTCTATTTTAAAAAAATGTATACATTCTGTTATACTATTAGACCGAAAATGCCCAAGGCATTAGCAAAGTTGTTTAAGAAACCCCTAACCCTAAAGGAGGTCTATGACCCAGCTTTGCACTTTTTTGCCTCTTCCAGCAAAACCATTTCCTTAATCTTCAATGGCATGAATAACTTACTCTTTCCTAATACTATCCAATGGCTTCTGTAGTTGTATTCAGAGGCGGAGCCATAATTTAAAACTTATGGGTTCAGAATTTTAAAATTTTTAAGCTAGTGGGTTCTAAATTAACAATTTATACATGTTCAATAAATTTCTCAAGAAAAACACAGTTGAACGGAAAAAGAAAAGCAATTGTAAAGAAGTGTTGTAACCAAAACCCGAGGGGATTTCCTCAAGCCGCTTACATTTTTGCAGCAACAGACACTCGGCCTTGGGAAGGCATTCCATTTGTGCAATATACAGAAAGTCTAGTTTCAACAACTTAAGTCTCTTGAACTCCACATCCTACTGATCCCCTCAAACGCTCTGAATACTATCTTTAGAACCTCACGATTTTGCAATGCACTAATTGCAGAAATTTCACTCCAGGGGGGGCGAATTTTGGATAGTGTCAAGCTAAATGATAGAGGCAAATGCTTGCAGCTCAGTTATAGTATGTCCATCCAGTTGTGCTCTCCATCACAAACCAACTTAGAACTTAAACCGTATGACATTTCCTTCTCTTTAACTGAGGCTTGTCTCTGGGAGGGGATGGTGAGAGCAATTGGTTTTGTACTATGCCAATTCACGTTGAACCAATTGAGAGTCGAACGTTGTTTCTACAATATTTATTTTCCGCCTCTTTTGGTTGAATTTTAAAAAGGATGCTTTGCTTTTTCCTGGGGTGCCGTGGTGCATACTATTTGCAGATGATATTGTATTGATTGACGAGACGTGATGCGGTGTGAACACGCAGTTAGAGGTATGGAGGCAGACCCTGGAGCCTAAAGGTTTCAAGTTGAGGAGGACCAAGATAGAATACTTGGAGTGTAAGTTTAGTGGCGAGACTCAAGGAGGGGAAACGGAGGTGAGGCTGGACTCGCAGGTCATCCCTAGGAGAGGAAGTTTTAAGTATCTTGGGTCTATTATTCATGGGATGGGGAGATTGATGAAGATGTCACACATCGTATTGGGGTAGCATGGATAAAATGAAGACTCGCTTCCGGTGTTTTGTGTGACAAGAAGGTGCCATCGAAACTTAAAGGTAAGTTCTACAGAGTGGTGGTCAGACCGACGATGTTGTATGGGGTTGAGTGTTGGCCAGTCAAGATCGCTCATGTCCAGAAGATGAAGGTAGTAGAGATGAGGACGTTGAGATGGATGTGCGGGCGCACCAGATTAGATATAATTAGAAATGAGGTTATTCGTGACAAGGTGGGTGTGACCCCTATTGAGGACAAGATGTGGAAAGCGCGACTTAGGTGGTTTGGTCATATGAGGAGGAGGAGCACAAACGCCCCGGTGAGGAGGTGTGAGAGGTTGACATTGGAGGGTCTACGCAGAGGTAGAGGTAGGCCAAAGAAAAGGTGGGGAGAGGTGATTAGGCAAGACATGTCGCAGTTTCAGCTGACCGAGGACATGACCCTTGATAGGAATGTATGAAGGTCGATGATTAGGGTAGTAGAGTAGGTAGTCTAGAGTCTTCATAACAGTAGTATTGGCACGCAGTCTCACTTTCTGTTGGTAGTATGTTTTTATGACTAACCGTTGTTTTCTTTCATTGTTGATCACCTTAC